TTCTCAAATGTTACAGGAGAAAAAAAGTCTTTTATAGCTGTGTTTTTTAAATCTGGATGCAATCAAAGCTCTTGTACTGCATTTGTTTCTTTAGTCTCTTAATGTAGAACAGTACCTCTACCACTTTTTCCCCACAACATTGACTTTTTTGGAAAGTCCAAGCCTTTTCAAAAGTGTTTTTGTTTTTGTTCGTTTGTTTGTTTGAGGCAGAGTCTTGCTCTGTCACCCAGGCTGGAGTGCAGTGGCGCAATCTCGGCTCACTGCAAACCTATGCCTTCTGGGTTCAAGCAATTCTCCTGCCTCAGCTTTCCAAGTAGCTGGGATTACAGGTGCGTACCACCACACCTGGCTAATTTTTTTGTATTTTTAGTAGAGACAGAGTTTCATCATATTGACCAGGCTGGTCTTGAACTCCTGATCTTGTGATCTGCCCTCCTCGGTCTTCCAAAGTGCTGGGATTACAGGCGTGAGCCACGGAGCCTGGCCTTCAAAAGTTTTATAGAATGTCAAACACTCTGTGTTTATCTATACTCCTTATTTCCTGCAAACTGGAAAAAATTAATTTGATCCAGGCTACATATTTTTGGCAAAAATATTTCACAGTTTATGTTTTAAAATTTTTATTATATCTACTTAGGAGGTACATAAGGTGGTTTGTTCCATTATTACTTTTTTTTTGGTGGGGCAGGGAGCAGCTGAGTCTTGCTCTGTCACCATGCTGGAGTACAATGGCATGATCTCGGCTCACTGCAATCTCCACCTCCCAGGTTCAAGCAATTGTCTTGCCTCAGCCTCCAGAGTAGCTGGGATTACAGGCACTCACCATCATGCTGGCTAATTTTTGTAAAGACGGAGTTTCACCATGTTGGCCAGGCTGGTCTTGAACTCATGACCGCAGGTGATCCACCTGCCTCGACCTCCCAAAGTGCCAGAACTACAGGCATGAGCCACCGTGCCCAGCCAGCTCCATTATTACTGATGCTAACTTTGATCAATTACTTAAGGTGGTGTCTGCCAAATAGATTCATTGTAACGATACATTTTTTTTAATTTGTGATTTAGTAGGTAACCTGTCAGTAATACACTGGAATAATGTCAACATCCTATTCCTCAATACTCTCTTACTCAACAGTTTTGATTCATGTCTAAAACAGACCACTTAGATTGTAAACTAATGATTTTTCTGATTTTGTCATTCTTCATATGTTTATTAGCTGATATTCTTTCTGCAATAAAGAGCTTTCCTTCCTTTGTCCACCTCCAGGGGTTTTATTTTTCAACACGTAATAATCAAATACATTTTTTTATTGTTATTGATGTTCAGATTGACTCAAACATCATCAGTATCAGCCCTTTCAAGGTTTCCATGTCCTTTGAACATGACACTATTGGTGTGACTCCATTCTTTCTCGCTCTGTGGTACTATTTATCCAAGGCTAACCTTGTATTTTCCTTGGTCCAGATATGGAATCAGCCATTCTGATTGCTTTGTAAAGGAAATGCTATTTAAAAACAAAAAACTGCACATTAAGTATATTCACTTCTTTTTGGGTAGAATCCCTTCAAGACTGGTTCAGTGAATAAAGTTATTTCTTCTTGTTGCTTTCTCTTTAAGTCATGGATTCATATTTTCTTAATTTAATTTTAATGTTATAAAATTATGTCTTTAATTTTATATCTGTGTCTCTTTTTTATACACTATATAGCTTAGCTTATAACATTAACATATTTACTTTTTTGCTCTTTATAAGATGTGTGTGTGTTTCAAGTTAAATTATATTACTACTATAAATAAACCTACTGAGTAATGCTTAAAATTTTGCTCTTCTTGTTTCTAGAGTATATCTCATTAAGGATGAGTCAGAGGACTGTGCTGACAAGTTAGTTGAAATAACTGCTTTCTCTCTGTGATTATGTTATCAAGTTGATAAACACTTACGTTCATTAAATTCATTTGCTTGTTTTGGTGTTGTTTTATGATTTATAATTTTTTATTTAATTTTATTTTTTGGATATGTAAAACATTAATAGTCAGAAGTACATAAGGAGGTGTACTTAGAGGAATCCAACTCTTATCCCTATCCCCTACACCCTACTTACCACAGCTATCCACCATAATAACTACTTTGGTTTTTATTTTTATAACGAGTTTATTGAAATATATTTCACATATCATAAAATTCACCCTTTTAAAGGGTACAATTAAATGGTTTTCAGTATATTCACGGAGCTGTGCAACTGTCACCCCTTATCTAATTCCAGAAATTTTCATCATTCCAAAAAGAATCCTCACACTCATCATCAATTACCCCCATACTTCTCACGCCCCCATTTCCCAGACTCATCAACTTTCTTTCTCTATAGATTTGTCTATTCTGAACATTTAATATAAATGGAATCATATAATATATGTACTGTTGTATCTTGTTTTTTTTTTACTTAGCATAATGCTTTTAGTGTTTATCCTTGCTGTAGCATGTATCAGTACTTCATCCTTTTTTATAGCTGAATAATATTCCATTGCCTGTATATCACATTCTGTTTCTCTATTCATTAGTTGACAGACATTTGGGTTGTTTCCACTTTTCGACAACTACGAATAATGCTGCTATGGACATTTGTGTACAAGTTTTTGTGTGGACACATGTTTTCATTTATCTTAGGTTTATACCTTGGAGTGGAATTGCTGGATTTACGGCAACTCTACATTTAACTTTTGTAGTCATTCGTTTTTTTTAAATTTATCTTAGTGTATGATTCATTTGACAAAAATTTTTTGGAAATGTGTGTGCATTCTTACATAATCTTAGTTTCCTCTTTTTTCTTGCAAAAGAAAAGCTAGCATATTATAAACCTTGTTTTACAGCTTGAGTTTTTTTAATGTAATTGTTTGTTTTACATGCTGGAAAATAGTAATACACCCCAGAAATCACTACAAAACAAAGTTCATAGAGGTCTTCCTCATTCTTTTTTTAAATTACTACATAACACTACATTGTTGAATATACCCTTACTTACTTGACTAGTCCCCTATTTTCAGATATTTGTGCTGTTTCCAATCTTTTGCTTTTGAAAACTGTGCTGCAATGACAAACCTTGTGCATGTGTTGTTTGTATTTGTGGAGGTGTATCTTTAGAGTACATGCCTTAAAAAAAAAGCAAACATATTATATGCCTTGTTTTGCTGAGTCAAAGGATAACTGAATATGCAGATTTGTTAGGTATTGCCAAATTCCCTCTTCTGGAACTGTACTGCATTAATACAATAAATTTAATAGAGGACAGTTTCCCCATAGTCTCATTAACAAACATTAGGATTTGTCAATAACTGGTAGCTCAGTATAGCTTTAATTTGTATTTTTGTTACTATGAGTGAACTTGAGCATATTTCCATATATTTAAGAGTATTTGCCATGCTATTTCTGTGATCTATTTGTTCATGTCTTCTTCTGATTTCAAGAATTTGAGGACTAAGAATCTTGAAGTAAGCCAGGCATTCACCCTTTGGGTAGATAGAGGCAGGCACCCTGTCGCTCACTAAGCAGGGACAACCTCAATTGAGTCCTTGGCTCCTGTAACATGTTAAGACTCTCAGAAAGTCAGAGCTGAAGGAACCCTTTGGGATTAGCTGCTTCAGTCCCTTTGTGTTATAGATGAACAAACTTGTGGCCTAGACTTTCTCTAGGTCAGACAGCATATTTGTGATAGATCTAGAACTTGAGCCAAAGACTCTTCCAGGGTAACTGTACATTAACATGCAAATGGTTTCTTTGCTGGGTTTTGTACATTTACTGAGATTATCACAAACTACTTTTTGGAGAGCATATGCCTCTTAATGTCCTCTATTAGCTCAAATTGCAAACACTGGCAATAAATATAAAAGCCATCCTCTCTTGTTAATTCTGCTTATTACCTATCAATCAGTGTCCATAATATTCATTTGCTATAGAAGTGTAAAAAACAGCCCTTGAAAGTCAGAGCTGAATCAGATCTTGGAGATCTCACATATAATAGGAAAACTCAAGGTCGAGATAGGCAAAGCACTCAGGATTTACTACAGGGAGAGGCCAAAAGAGCCATTAGCCCAGAAACTTGCCTTCATTAAAGGCCTCAATTTTAAGTGTTTGAGATCCTCTCCAACTGAGGTTAAAATGTATCATTACTGCATCTTTGGAGTATGCAGACAACTGTACTTGCTAAATACATAAACTTAAAATACATTATAATTTTTAAGCTTATTTTCACATTTCTTTACTGTTTAATATACCAAGAGAGGCCTTAAGAGTGACCTGTTCCTGGTCACGAAATGAACTAATAGCACAAAGCAGAAATAAAACTAGAGCTCAGGTCGCTGACTCCTGGACAGAACACTTTCTACCTTTTTTGAGCCAAGTAAATTCATCTTGATTCACAATATTAAATCCTCTGGCCAGGGAGCACCACTGTGTGATACATGTGCCCCTTTCACCTGCCTGTCTCAGTGTCCGTCACCAGGACTATTCTCCATAATCCCGCTGTCTGTTACTGCTGGCCACACCAAGGCAAGAAGTGGACCAGAACCTTAACAAAAAGTTCCATTTCTTGAAAGCCACTCATGTGACATGCATTTTACCTGTGTTCATTCTAATCCACACAACTGGCCTTCACTGTAGGGATTGTACAGATGATCAAACAGATTCAGAGAGGTTTGCCTAAGATTATATAGCTAAACCAGTTGGAGAGCTTCAATTCAAAACCAGGTTCATCTGACAACAAAGCCTGTGTCCACTCCACTCTACCTTGCTGTTACCTTTCAACTGAGACAATCCACATGCATGATGACTCTAAGAGGATATATATATGGGTCAAGGCAAAATAGCCTTCCTCACAGAGCGCTCAGCCTTCCAAGGAAGCAGTTAAGGTCTGGGGCTGAAAGAGCTGAGAAGCAGCTTCTGTGTAGTCCAACCACATGGGCAAGTCGTCTAAGAGAAACTTTTTCTGAAAATCCAGCAGTTACTTACTTGACCAAGTGTCTTATCAGAAGTTCCAGCATCTCTCGGTTCTTTTCTGGTAGCTTATATACCAGGGAGTGAATAGCTCCCAGGCGGTAATCCAGGTTGTCAGACTCTGGGAGAGAACAGTAAGAGATAAATGGTTTGGCATTCTGGGCAACTAGATTAAGCAAATTCTTACATGTATACACACACACACACACAAACACACACACACAGAGAGAGAGGGAGCGAGAGAGAGAGAGAAGACTGTTTCAGACGGAGTCAGAACTCCAGGCACAGCAGGTTGTTCCTAAAGTCTCACAGATAAATTTCCAGCTGGAAACCTATTCCCATCCACCTTCCTTGTGGTACTGAGAAGTGTGCTGCTGCCTCTGGATTCCTGTGAAAATCACTGAGAGAGCCCAGAAGTAAAGAACAAAGCTCCTTTGTTTCAACAAAGATCCATTATGATGCTAAGTCCCCTGAATCTTTTTCCTGAACACCACACAGGATATGATGCAGAATAAGGGTCACGTTGAAGTGGGAGGGGCACTCATACAGTGACCTCAGCCAAAACTTTCAATGCTTCTTTAATCGCCAACTTTTGGGGGTGATTCCATATGCCTTATTTCCCATGTACTAACGTCCTCTCCCTCAGTTTTCTCATCTAGAAAATGTGACGCTGGCGCTATCAGATTAAGAACAATGGTTCACAACACAATCGAAAAGCTTTTGAACAGGCAAAATGATGAAGGAAGTTGAAACAGCAACTGTCGTGTAGCCATTTTGCTGTCCCCTGGTAATGTAAGCAAATGTTCTTGTTCTGATGGAAGAGGCAATGAATAAATATATAAATAAAGTCTTTATATTCATCACATTCCTCAAGTAACCAATTTTCTCAAGCCCTCTTAAGTAACACTAATTATGAAAAATAACACCACTCTTGAGTTAGATAGCAAGCAAGAATACTTTCATTTGGCAGTTGTGCATAATTTGTTTATGTGTTTTAGGTTTCTGTGCCCTCAATCACTTCTCCTCAAACAATTTTCTAGGCTTATTGCAGTAAACATTAAGAAACTAGGACAACACAGTTAATTAGTAACATAAATACTTACTGGCAGCAGAGACCAGCTCTTTGTGAAGCCTATAGGTCATGACAGGTTCAGATAGATTCCTGAAATGAATGAAAATTGTCAGTTTCTTTGGGAAGGATGCAGCTGGATATTGGATTCTTAGTTCTGGAGACAGCAAGGCTGATGTTTCTGAGCCCTACAACTTAGTGGGATTATATTCATTTTTCTCTTAACCTGAAGCTTCATCAGGGGAATCCAAGTTGCTAGTAATTCAACAAAAGACCTGCAGGAGCATAGACTGAGGCCTCTGGAAAAGTCTCCAACTAGCTCCCAAAAGTGAAAAGAGACACAAACCAGTCCTGCAAAATTCCAAAGAGGGCCCATTCTGAATGCTACCCTGAATCTCTTACAATTTGATAGATCCTTAGAATTTCCAAAGTGCTTTTGCAATTGTCCTCCCAACTGATGCTTCCAATAATCCTGTGAGGCAGAACAGTTATTCAAATCCCCATTTATAGGAAGAGGAATCTCAGGCTCAAATGGGTTTATTCACTTAGTCGAAAACCACTGGCTGAGCATCTACTTGTACAGGGCATTGTGCCAGGTATTGGGAATCCAGGGACGAACAGAAATAGTCCAAACCTCCAAGAAGCTAATAGTTTAGTAGAGGAGAGCACCATACACAAAACTTGCAATGCAGTGGGACAAGTATGATGATAAAATAAAGGTACATGGTAGGTGGCTCAGAGGAAGTAAGAAATCAACCAATAATTATAAGAATAGCAAACTCTGTACTGCTCTAATAGATTTACATGTATTAACCCATTTATAAAGCTCATAACAACTCTGTGAGGTAGGTACTGTTTCCAGTTTATAGATGTGGAAACTGAGGCCTAGTGAAGTTAAAGAACTCATCCAAAATTACACAGCTAATAAGTGGCAGAAGCAGGAAGTCTGTCTCCTGGGTCCATGCTCTTAATTACTATACTATACTGCCTGCCACTGTTATTGTAGTAATCCAAGCAAAAGATAAATAAAAGACAAACAGAGGGGCTAGGCATGGTGGCTGACATCTGTAATCCCAGCACTTTGAGAGGCCAAGTAAGGAGAATCACTTAAGCCCAAGAGATCGAGACCAGTCTGGTCAACTTAATGAGACCCCCACCTCTAAAAAAAAAAAAAAAAAACGTAAAAACAGTAGCTGGGCATGGTGGTGAGTGCCTGTAGCCCAGACTACTCAAGGGGCTGAGGCGGGAGGATCATTTGAGCCTGAGAGAGAGAAGGGTATGGTGGGAGGGCAAGACGTCAATGAGTCATAATCACACCACTGCACTCCAGCCTGCATGACAAAGCATAGAAAGAATAGGTGAGGAGAGTGTTTTGAAAAATATTAACAAAAGAACTCCTTCTTTGATTGGGTATGATGGCAAGAGAGCAATTTGGTTTGAGTGAGTGAATAGAATAAGTTGATTAAGAGGGAAGTAGAGATGCTAAGTCACGGAGGCCTCAGGAAGGAGATGTCTACTAAGAAGCTGGATATAGGGCTCTGCTAGATCAGAGAAGCAGATGTGAAAATCAGGAACCTCGACAGATGATAAAACCACAAGAACAGCTGCCACTGCTCCAGAGGAGATGGCAAACTGGCAGTCAAACAGCTACATGAGGCCTTCTGACATTTCTCCTTTGTCCAGCACAGTGTATAAAAGCGAAATGGAATTGAATCAATGATCAAAATATTTTAAAATGAGATATTTCATTTAAAAATCTTTTATTTTAAAAATATTTCATACAAACCCATATATGAAATATATATATATAAAATGAATATATGAAATATTTCATTTTAAAAATATTTCATACAAACACATATTCCCTGTATGTTGAAAAATGCAAAGATCTTTGTAGAAGTAAACAACACTGCTGTTTGTATGTAAACAAAGGGATTGTCATGCAAATAATGGTTCAATGTACAAAGTGTTTAATAGGAAAATAGTCTACTTCACTCAGTTTTATTCCCTGGCCCCTGTAGATATTTCAGTTTTCAGTTGCTCTGCTATAGTAAAATGAGAAGAGAGCCCTGGGAAACACCAAATAGAAAGCCCATACAGGGGACTGACAAAAATGACCAAAGAGGTTAGAGAAAAACAAAAAGTAAGTGATTCAGCAGAGTCCAAAATAGGAGAAAGTATTAAGGAGGGCTTTTTCAAATGTTGCAATTCAAATGTTACCAAAATATCCAGTAAGGTAAACACTGACAACTGTCCTTTGTGTACAGCATTGAGGGTATCCCTGGTGACCCTGGCAAAAGCACCTTCATTGGAGCAGAGGGAGTAAGAGTTATTACAACGAGTTAAGAGGGAACTGGGGAGTTAAGAAGTACAGACAGAGATTGTATATTACTTGACACAGAAGCTTGGTTGATGTCGATGAAAAGAGTAAAACTGTGTAAAATATTTTAAGAGATTTATTCTGAGCTAAATATGAGTGACCATGGCCCGTGACACAGCCCTCAGGAGGTCCTGAGAACTTGTGCCTAAGGGGGTCGGGGTACAGCTTGGCTTTACATATGTTTAGAGAGGCATGAAGCATCAATTAAATATATTTAAGAAATACATTAGTTTGGTTCAGAAAGATGAGACAACTCAAAGTGGGGGCTTCCAGGCTATAGGTAAACATTTGCTGGTTGACAGTTGGTTGAGTTTATCTGAAGACCTGGGATCAATGGAAAGGAATGCTGAGGTTAAGTCAAAAGACTGTGGAGACCAAGTTTTATTGTGCAGAGGAATCTCTCAGATAGCAGACCTCAGAGAGAGCAGGTTGTAAAATGATTCCTATTAGACCTAAAAGGGCGTCTGGCTCTTAGTTAATTATCTCCTGGATCTGGAAAGAAAGAAAGAAAACAATGGGGGAAGGGGATTTTCTATAGAATGCAGATTTTTCCACAAGAGACTTTGTAAGGCAATTTCAAGGTATGGCAAGGAAATATATTTTGGGGTAAAACATTTTCATTTTTTCCCTTGTTATGCCAGAGTCAGATTGGAAAGTAAATCACGATATACAGGGTTAAATAAAACCCATTTGATGAGAATGTATGGTTTGTAGGGCATGACTCCCCAAACCCCTTAGAAAGAAATTTCGGCAAGATAAAAAATCAGAGCTTAGTCCTCACTGAGAAGGGATAAAGTATCTCATTAGGCAATCCTGTTTACTCTAACTATCATCCATATGCTCAATGATCACCAAGATTTTAGATCAAGCCCAAAACTCATCATTGAGTTTCAGACCTATATAAATTGCCTGCTTAATATTACACCCTGATTTCTTCAAAGGTACCCACATTTGACATATCCAAAGTCCAACTTATTGCCTGCCTCAAACTTAGTTTTCTTGTGTTTCTTAAATCAGTAAACACCATCATTTGGTTGTATGGGCCAGAAACATGGAGTTACCTTTTTATCACACTATCCCCAATCCTCATATTCAATTCATCAGTTTGACTTCCCAAATCTCTTGAATATGCTTACTTCTAGGAATAGCTACTGCTAATTTTTAAAAGATCCTATAAAGCCCCAAATGATCTGGCCTCTACATACCTCTCCCTGCCTCTCTACACTCAATACTCCCCCTGTTCTGATTCATGTAGTTTCCTGAAGGGGACTTCCTCCCTCCTGCCTCCAGACTTTGCATATTCACTTCCCTCTCTCTGGAACCCAACCCCCACTTGGTTGATTCCAACTTACAGTTCAAAACTCAGTTTAAACAACCGGAATGAGTGAGGTCCTCCTATTAAATGCTTTCATAGGTATACCTTTCCTTCAGAGTACTTATTAGAGTTTATTACATTTGTGTGATTATTTGTCTTCTAGTTCTTTAAGGTCAGAGACCATACCTATACATAACTGTTTGCCTAGTGCCTTAACATCATACTTGGCATTGAGTAAGCACTGAGGATATTTTTCTTGAATCACTTAATGATTTAAAGATGTATATGGCTGGAACATACTGACGCGCTGAAAAAAAACAGCCAGTTGAATGAGAGGATAAAAATATAGGAGAGAGAAGGGATAATTTCTAGAGGACTTCTCTGGAAAGCTCTGGATAAGGGGTGATTTAGTTACCTAGAACAGAGGGTGGAGATCTGCCCTGAAACACAGTTATCTTTGAGAACTCTAAAGGGTATTTACTGGCTGGTGTATACTACAGAACCGTGGGCGAGAGTCACAAGAACAAGTATCACTTATTGGGGATGCTGCCCACTCACACTTTCAGGCGTGACCCTCTCATCTTTGAAAAGGACCATACTGCCTATTACAGGATGAGCTGGGAATAATGCAATGTGGGGAAGTCCTTACAAGCCTAAGAAAATGTTGAGACTCCTTCGAAGGGAGCTAGAGATACAGAATCACTTATTCCCACTATTCTCGTCACAAGTCTTCTTAAAGTATTCATAACAGATTGCTCTCTGTCTTTACTAAATTACCAAGCCATCCAAAGAAGGCCAAAGTGGCCAAAGCTCCTGGAAGTAGGGGGCAGGAGAAGAAGATGCCCCAGTACCAGGGGACTTATAAGTCGGAGACACTTAGATTTAAAAAATACAACCTGGGATCATGGCTATTACTTAACGGGGGAAGTGGGGCACCTTGGTTTCCTCATCTACAAAATGAGTCAAGTACCATCTAGTACACTCAGTTAATGGGAGAAAAAAAAAAAACAATGACATTATCAGTGTAAACAACTGGCCACAGCCTAGAACAGAATAAACCCTCCAATAGCAGTTCTTTTCTTCATCAGCAGATACAGTAGAAATATTCCTGGAAAGAACATTCAAGTTTATGTAAAGCCCTAAGATGATGCTACAGAAGAAAAATATTTAACAGCAATATCTTAAACCCAATTTAGTTTAGATTAATGAGATTTTCCAGAACTTAAGTATCAATCTTAATGGCTCAAGAGCACAATCATTGAAAAGAAAAGGCTTTAGCACATAAAGTATGATACATACTATGAGACATAAAGAGTGGTAAGAAATCAGTGTGTTTAAAAAATATATATGTCTCAAACACCTTTTGTACAATATAAATTTACGTCAATAAATTGAACAATATATTCATCAATTTTGTGCATTCCCAAATTTTGTTGGTGAGTTTACTTTTTTTCCATACTGTTGACAGTTCATATAGCTCCAACATCATTCCAGTTGTATTTTCTTGGTTTTATTTCCATTATCTGGATTAAGGCATGATATGCAGCACATCACACATAGCACACCATTTTTGCCCAAATGCAATTTGACATTTCAAAAATGGTTATTATTCTTTAAAACATGTTAGCCACCCTGAATAGTCACAGCTCATGATTCTGCTAGTGAAGCCATCATGACATCACTCTGTGAACAGCAAAACATATTCAATTATTTCAAGTGTAGGATTTTAGAAAATAATCATTTTAACCTTTTTTCAATGACAATTCTATTATTTTTATGCTTCTCTTGCTTAAACTCTCAGATTTAAAAAACAGTCTTTGCATGTTCTTGGCCAGAAATCCTCTTCACATACTTTTTCTTAAGCAATTCTAAGCAACCTCCTGGAACTGGGACCACGTTAACTCCTCTCAGCACCCAGAGAAATTTCACCAACTATGAAATGCAAACTCCCAATTCAAATCAGGCATACCTGAGGTAGAATTTCAAGGAGCTGGTGATTGTCTTAATGTCCCAGTCACTATTATGAAAATCAACATCTCCTGGGCATTTAGGATCTATTTGAGAAAAGCAAACAAAAAATAAGTTAATCATCCAAAAATCTTACATTTTACCTCTTTTAAAAGAAAAACAATATGATGCTAAGTAGTTTTTAAGAGATCAAAACTTTAGAAGAAGCAAATCTTTGATGTTTCAAAAACCTGACTGCATTCTGGTCTACCATATAAGGAATAAGGAAGTAATCTATCCAATTCACACAACAAAGAAAAACTGAACAAACAAAATCAACTCTTCTTAGATTCATCAGATAACTGGGAGCATAGAGTAAATGACTGCCCCCAAAAGTGAGGAGATAGAGAGACAGAGAGAACCAAATCTTATTGTAACAGAAGCCCAGGAGTAGAAAACTTCTTGGAAACCAGCACTGGAATAGGATAACCTAATCTGTAATTTACAAATTGCTGGAAGCTCAATATGTTTGGATTTGAAAAGTTGAAAACTCCAGCCGGACCCAGTCCAAAAGGGGCCCCCATACTTTTGTGAGTTTTAACTACAGGAGTCCTATCAAGTTTTGATGGTGAAAACTCCCTTCATTATTCCAGCATGGGGGAAAGATAAGTAGTCATTTAAAAATATTCACAGACCCTTTTCTTCTTAACAAAGTCTGCCCTCAAAAGAAACTATTTTTACCAGATCATAACCTCCTGCAGTTTTATCAGAACCTAAGTGAATGAGGTGAAGGGAAATACCCAATTCCAGACCCAATTTCCCTTAAAGTTTCTCCCAAGTAGGGGAAAAAAACAAAAAACCTGAGAAGAGCTTAAGTTAAGTCACAGGCCAGGGGCACAGCTCACTAAAAGACAGAGACATACTCATAGACTTATAGAAGACTTCCCCACCCATGACACCTTACCACCATGTCAATTGGGCTCATGTACTCATGGAAATATGACTAAAAGAACTGTGCTTCTCAGATAATTATTTAAGTCTTTAGGCAAAACCAAAATAACAGAGGATGAAAAAAAAAAAAAAAACATCAGAGTAATGTTTAGCCTCTACCACCATACCACCAGCTAGCTAATCAGCCACATTTCTTTTCTTTTTTTATATATTTTAAGTTTTGGGGTACATGTGCAGAATGTGCAGATTTGTTACATAGGTATACACATGCCATGATGTTTTGCTGCACCCATCAACCTGTCATCTACATTAGGTATTTCTCCTAATGCTATCCCTCCCCTAGTCCCCCAGCCCCCAACAGGCCCTGGTGTGTGATGGTCCCCTCCCTGTGTTCATGTGTTCTCACTGTTCAACTCCCACTTATGAGTGAGAACATCTGGTGTTTGGTTTTCTGTTCTTGTGTTAGTTTGCTGAGAATGAGGGTTTCTAGCTTCATCCACGTCCCTGCAAAGGACATGATCTCATCCTTCTTTATGGCCGCATAGTTTTCCATGGTGTATATGTGCCACATTTTCTTTATCCAGTCTATCATTGATGGGCATTTGAGTTGGTTCCAAGTCTTTGCTATTGAGATTAGTGCCACAATAAACATACGTGTGCATGTGTCTTTATAGTAGAATGATTTACATTCCTTTTGATATATATCCAGTAATGGGATTTCTGGGTCAAATGGTATTTCTGGTTCTAGATCCTTCAGGAATCACCACATTGTCTTCCACAATGGTTGAACTAGTTTACACTCCCACCAACAGTGTAAAAGTGTTCCTATTTCTCCACATCCTCTCCAGCATCTGTTGTCTCCTGACTTTTTAATGATCATCATTCTAACTGGTGTGAGATGGTATCTGATTGTGGTTTTGATTTGCATTTCTCTAATTACCAGTGACGATGAGCTTTTTTTCATAAGTTTGTTGGCTGCATAAATGTCTTCTTTGGAGAAGTGTCTGTTCATACTGTTCATATCCCTAATCCACTTTTTGATGGCATTGTTTTTTTTCTTGTACATTTGTTTAAGTTCTTTGTAGATTCTGGATATTAGCCCTTTGTGAGACGGATAGACTGCAAAAATTTTCTCCCATTCTGTGGGTTGCCTGTTCACCCTAATGATAGTTTCCTTTGCTATGCAGAAGCTCTTTAGTTATTAGATCCCATTTGTCAATTTTGGCTTTTGTGGCCATTGCTTTTGGTGTTTTAGTCATGAAGTCTTTGTCCATGCCTATGCCCTGAATGGTATTGCTTAGGTTTTCTTCTATGGTTTTTATGGTTTTAGGTCTTATATTTATGTCTTTATTCCATCTTGAGTTTATTTTTGTATGAGGTGTAAGGAAGGGGTCCAGTTTCAGTTTTCTCCATATGGCTAGCCAGTTTTTCCAACACCATATATTAAATAGAGAATCCTTTCCCCATTGCTTGTTTCTGTCAGGTGTGTCAAAGATCAGATGATTGTAGATGTGTGGAATTATTTCTGAGGCCTCTGTTCTGTTCCATTAGTCTATATATCTGTTTTTGGTATCAGTACCATGCTGTTTTGGTTACTGTAGCCTTGTAATATAATTTGAGGTCAGGTAGCATGATGCCTCCAGCTTTGTTTTATTTGCTTAGGAATGTTTTGGCTATACAGGATCTTTTTGGTTCCAAGTGAAATTTAAAGTAGTTTTTTCTAATTCTGTGAAGAAAGTCGATAGTAGCTTGATGCAGATATCATGGAATTTACAAATTACTTTGGGCAGTATGACAATCTTCATGATATTAATTCTTTGTATCCATGAGCACGGAATGTTTTTCCGTTTGTTTGTGTCCTCTCTTGTTTCCTTGATCAGTGGTTTGTAGTTCTCCTTAAAGAGGTCCCTCACATCCCTTGGAAGTTGTATTCCTAGGTATTTAATTCTCTTTGTAGCAATCGTGAATGGGAGTTCACTCATGATCTGGCTCTCTGTTTGTCTATTATTGGTGTTTAGGAATGCTTGTGATTTTTGCACATTGATTTTGTATACCGAGACTTTGCTGAAGTTGCTTATCAGCTTTAGGAGATTTGGGGCTGAGATGATGGGGTCTTCTAAGTATACAATCATGTCATCTGCAAACAGAGACAATTTGACTTCCTCTTTTCCTATTTGAATACCCTGTATTTCTTCCTTTTCCCTGATTGCCCTGGCCAGAACTTCCAATACTGTGTTGAATGGGAGTGGTGAGAAAGGGCATCCTTGTCTTTTGCTGGTTTTCAAAGGGAATGCTTCCTGGTTTTGCCCATTCAGTATTATATTGGCTGTGGGTTTGTCCTAAGTAGCTCTTATAAGTTTGAGATGTATTCCATCAATACCTAGTTTATTGAAAGTTTTTAGCGTGAAGGGGTATTGAATTTTGGTGAAGGCCTTTAACGCATCTATTGAGATAATCATGTGGTTTTTGACATTGGTTCTGTTTACATGATAAATTACATTTACTTATTTGCATATGTTGAACCAGTGTTGCATCCCAGGGATGAGGCTAACTTAATCATGGTGGATAAGCTTTTTGATGTCCTGCTGGATTCAGTTTGCCAGTATTTTATTGAGGATTTTCGCATTGATGTTCATCAAGGATTTTGGCCTGAAATTTTCTTTTGTGTGTGTGTGTCTCTGCCAAGTTTTGATATCAGGATGATGCTGGCCTCATAAAATGAGTGAGACAGGATTTCCTCTTTTTCTGTTGTTTGGAATAGTTTCAGAAGGAATGGTATCAGCTCCTCTTTTTACCTCTGGTAGAATTCGGCTGTGAATCCGTCTGGTGCTGGCCTTTTTTGGTTGGTAGGCTATTACTTACCGCCTCAATTTCAGAACTTGTTATTAGTCTACTCATGGATTTGACTTCTTTCTGGTTTAGACTTGGGAGGGTGTATATGTCCAGGAATTTATCCATTTCTTCTAGATTTTCTAGTTTATTTGTGTAGAGGTGTTTATATATTCTCTGATAGTAGTGCATATTTCTGTGGAATCAGTGGTGATATCCCCTTTATCATTTTATATTGCATCTATTTGATTCTTCTCTCTTTACTTCCTTGTTAGTCTGGCTATCAGTCTATCTATTTTGTTGGTCTTTGTAAAAAAAACCAGCTCCTGAATTCATTGATATTTTTGAAGGGTTTTTTGTGTCTCCATCTCCTTTAGTTCTGCTCTAACCTTTGTTATTTCTCGTCTTCTGCTAGCTTTTGAATTTGTTTGCTCTTGTTTCTCCAGTTCTTTTAATTGTGATGTTAGGGAGTCGATTTTAGATCTTTCCTGCTTTCTACTGTGGGCATTTAGTGCTATAAATTTCCCTCTAGACACTGTTTTAAATGTGTTCCAGAGATTCTGGTATGTTGTTTCTTTATTCTCATTGGTTTCAAAGAACTTATTTCTACCTTAATTTCACTATTTGCCCAGTAGTCATTCAGGAGCAGGTTGCTCAGTTTCCATGTAGTTATGCAGTTTTGAGTAAGTTTCTTAATCCTGAGTTCTAATTTGATGGCACTGTGGTCTGAGAGACTGTTATAATTTCCGTTCTCTTGCATTTGCTGAAGAGTATTTTACTTCCAATTATGTGGTCAACTTTAGAATAAGTGTGATATGGTGCTGAGAAGAATGTATATTCTGTTGATTTGGGGTGGAGAGTTCTGTAGATGTCTATTAGGTCCTCTTGGTCCAGAGCTGAGTTCAAGTTCTGAATATCCTTGTTAATTTTCTGTCTCATTGATCTAATATTGACCATATTTCTACACACTAACAATGAACTAGCTGACAAAATTTCAAAAACAATCCCATTTACAATAGTATTAAATAAAGAAAAAAACTTAGGGATAAATTTAGCCAAGGAAGTGAATAATAACTGCTATACTAAAAACTATAAAACACTAATGAAACAAACTAAAGACACAAATAAATGAAAAAATAGTCCATGCTCATGGATTAGAATAACTAATCTTATTAAAATGTCCATACTTCCCAAAGCATTCTCTAAGTTCAATGCAATTCCTATCAAAATTCCAATGTCTTTCTTCACAGAAATAGAAGAAGATAATCATAAAATTCATATGAAATGACAAAAGACCCCAAATAGTCAAAACAATCTTTAGCAAAAG